AAAGGGCACAGAAAAGAAATGAGAGAGAAGGGATCATTCCTATTGCTGGGAACACACATCTGCACCAGCCACATCAGGTACATTTCCTTCTGCTTTGCCGCTTAGTGCTCTCCTCCATTCGTGTTGTGCTTCAGACCTCACCTGCAGCATCAGTTCAGCCTCTGCCCAGTCCTGCTCAGCTCCTGTGGCAGCCCCTCAGGTCCTGCCATGTCCCACCTCTGTGCTCTGCACTCCCACCAACCCCCAGCCCCTGCAAGCTGATGTCAATCACAGCTCTTTTAATGTGCTAACTTTCTAAATCCACACTTGTGCTTACTTAACAACAGGCTGCTTTGATCAGTGGAACGAAAGCAGAACTAACAAACCTGAGCCCCTCTCCTGACGCACCCCTCGCCAGGCCTCAGGCTTGTAAAACCAAAGCAATTGCAAGGCTTAATTTTATTTCCTTTACTTTCAGGCTACAAGGTGCTGGTTCTGATTAGGAATATTCCGAGCAGGAATAAAGCTCTTTTAAATAAAAACCATGTTGAGCTTTAAGGGGAAAATTGCACAACCCTATCAATTTAGAAGAAATGTCTTTTCAACCAGCGGTGTGGACAGGGCTCTGTTAAGCCAGGCGATGTGGGAAGCAACTCTCCTTGTTAGTCACATTGCTTTTATGGTTTAGAGATCAGAAGAACATCATTTGTAGGCAGAGAAAATGGACTTTACCTCGGGATTCCAGAGGACCAGAGCTCCGAGTACTTTGAGGAAATGCACTTTCAGGAGCACATCCAGAGGTAACTTCTGAGCCTCACAAAAGCAAAATGAGATCTCACATAGACTTCACTTGGGTAAATATGAAGTCACGAGCTTGATTTCAATAGAGTGCAACTGAGTATGTACTTCATAGCTTGGTAAAGCTGAAGCTGCTGCACTGGGACAGCTCTAGAGCTGCCTCAGTCACAGAGGCTGATACAGTTATGTTAATCTGTGGTGCTGAACAAACAGGCTGGTGTTTGCTGTAGAGCTGCTTTGGACTGCTGCTGCTGGAAATGAAATCAAGTATGGCCCAGTGGCTGGATTTACACAGACCTAGCTAAAAACATCCTCATGTCTTCAGAGCATGGCCCTGGCAAAGCTGATCCCACCAGCACAGCGCCCTGACCACTGGAAACTGGACTCCATCAGAGCAGTGTCACTTCTAAACAAGCTGCTGAGGTGTAATACATGGGGAACACATCCTGCCTACACGTGGCTTTATGATACTGCACAGATTTTATGCTAGGGTCAAGGGAGAACTCAGGACCAACCATTTAATCCTATTCCTTTTAGGCATGAAATCTGCCAGCCCCAGCATCCTGATCGCCCTTTCCCCTTCAAAGTTGCTCCTGCCTACTCTGGGTAGCAGAACCTTATCTTTGTTTTCATCTGCCTGTCATTCTTGATTCTTACCCCTTTGGAGATGTGTGCTCTCCTCCTACCCCCACAGATCCTATGACCTCAAGGTCCTCCCCCATTCAGCGCCAAAGTCATGTCAGAGCTGAGCTTCTGGTCCCCAAGGAGGAGTTGTTGGGACCTTTCACAGGTCAGGGTTCGGATTAAGTTAAAGCAGCAAGGAGGTAAAAGCTGGAGGAGGCTCCTGCAGAAGAGTTCATGGATGGCTGCTGTACTGCAATACGAGGGGCTTGACTTGAGTGTGCTGAAGCCAGCAGGAGGTGTTCTGAATGCACCAAATGCTTTATGTGGTTTGGTTTTTATCCATTATTTCTACCCTGGTTAGAAGTGAAATGGCTGTCTTAGGACTAAGGCTAACTGCTCAACGATACGACTACATACACCTTAAAGTGTGCTTTTCAAGACTGACAAGAGTGATGACAGTAAAAAGCTTTATAACCAGATTTAGGATGAAGAGTACACTTACCCCAGCACAGGAATTCATCCCTTCTAAGTGACTACCTCTGCTCTGGTAACAGCTATTATTATGTTGTTAGAGTGGGAAGAAGCTCATTCACAGACCAGGGCTCCACTGCGCTAACAGCTCACTAGGAAGAAGGGGCTGCTATCCCAAAGGGCTGGCAATCCATATGTGGTTCTGAACCCTGCTGCTGGCCATGGCCTTAAAAACCTGCCTCTGGCACAACCAGTTTCAAAGCCTTCTCCTCTCACTTGAAACTCGGCAGTCTAACACGATTTCATTAAGCAGATGCTAGACAGATAATGTGCCATCTTCACGAGAGGGGTGTTTGCTGCATGACTCTGATGGCAACACAAAAACTTTGGCAGACATCAGAGGACTCTGCATCAAACCCTTCCCTTTCCCTAAGCCACGCTTCTGTTGTAATTACTGTTTTCCCTAGTCATTCTGTGATAGGTACAGGCAGCCTGGCAACACCTTCAGGGAAGCTTTGTGGGACTGAAATACACCACCACACGTGCTGAGTGTTAAGTCCGCCTGGACCTGGACCTCATTACTCCAAGTGCTGATCAAGCGCTGGCAAATCAAGCTGCCCCTGAGTGCTGAACACAAAGTGCACCAGACCAGTGCAGTTGCACGCACTTCAAAATGCTGATCTATTTTCCCAAGATGTGAGCTAGTTTTATGCTATCAGCATTTTGTAGCTCAAAAGCTGTGGGTTTCTTTCCGGTACAGGGAAGGTCAGCATGCTCTGCAGTGACTGCGGGCTCCTCTGGCTGGCAAGCCAAGCCAGGGCCCCAGATAGCCAAAGGCAGGTGCTCAGCTTTCAGCAGAGACCTGGCCCCTTTCCAGTGCTTCCAGGTGGCCAGTCCCCAAAGTGAAGGCATCTTGAGACACGTCACTTTGAATGCCGGTCACCGGGACTGGCAAATCCCCTCTAAATCTGCCTGTGCCTTTGCTGCTGAGTACACGTGGGGTATCTGCAGAACCAGCCAATGCACTCCATGCTGAGGGGACATGGGCCCCGCGCTGCCACGACTGCGATTGTACCTCCCCTGGCAGTTGCTGCATTACTATGACAGCTGCAAACCCCGATGAGTGAATAACCTAATCGAGCCATTAAAAGAAACAGAAGCCCTCTGCCCTGTTTGATTTCTCTCTATAATGATGTAAAGTGCACTTTAATGGAGTCAAAGTGGTCCTGGGCCATTCTTGTTAAGGCCATTTGATGCAGTGCTATTGAGTCCCACTGCTAGCGTTCATTACCTCCCTTCAGCTCTCTCCCCTGCTGCATTGTAGTTCAGACTCCCCAGCACAGTTTCGCTGCTGCCACAGCCCCTTGCCTGCATTTTGTCTACATAAATTAGACCTTGTGCAGCATATTGGCCTGTCAGGGGACTAGGAAGAAACTGTATATTGTTTCTGGCATTCCCGGGCCCTTCTGCCCCTGACATCTGCTGTGTTTGTGACAGGGAATACATTCCTGACTCATTATCCGGGCAAGCGGAATCCCTCCCTGACAGCACCATTAATCAGAATCAAGCAGTCCAGCAAAGGCAAAAAAAAAAAAAGAAGGGAGAGAGAAGAAGAAGAAGAAGAAAAAGCAAGCGAAGAAAAAAGACAGTTCCTAACTTTCACTTCGGTGTCACTCCAGTGTCTGGACAAGTAGCAATCTATCTTTCTGAGTGACAGCTCTGATGGATGGCATTATTTATGCTTTTGTGTATTAAAAGACAGTTCTGGCACTGGCTTGTCACTCAGCAGAGCCTTGAAAAAAGTTGGAATTCAATTTGAAGGAAAAGAGGCCAAAGATCAGATGGTTCTGGCTAGGAAGTGGTGCCTGGAAGGGCCCAAGATTACAGTGGGAGGGAGGAACTGGAAGAGGTGTAGAAATGATGCACAAATGAGTAACTGCCCTTGCAGGTACAGAGCTTTTCCCTGTGTATCTGTATTAGTATCTGCCTGGGCTGGAGAGGTCTGTTTGTTGACACAAACAGGTTTGATGTTCCTTGGAGGGATGCATCATTTGAGGGTGAGACAGGCATATGCTTAATTTTCTGTACATAATTTGTGCGTGTTTGTGTATACAAACATTTTTATGTATGCACATACATATGTGACTGAACGTGGGTGTTTCACAGCGTGTCTTTACATGCACATGTGTATTTACATCATTAATTTTAAATATAGGCTTTTTGTTCTAGCACACACATCTTCCAGATACGAAACACAGACCTAAATACCCATACACACACGAAGACAATCACACAGATACACCCCGAGATGAACAATACATCCATGTTTTGAATTCAGTCCTTTTAAAACATGTTTCCTTACCACACTGTGAGTGATTTTAAGTACAAACACAGGACAATATTCTTTAAACTGGAAGTGCCTTACTTGTCTCAAGTTTTTGAGAAGAAACTGCATTTCACTTCATGTAGGAAGTGCAGTCTGACTGTTGGTCTGGTTTTACGTCTTTTTCTTTACCCACACACAAGCTGAATGCAGAAACCCTGGTATGAAGATTTAGATGCTCCCACTTTGTAACATTTCCTACCTGTAGAAAAGGCTGGTAACTGCATGTGAAATGCCAGGCTGAGGAGCTGTCACATACTGACCCATTTATAAAGTCAGAATTCCAAGAAGTGTAAATCTGCATCTTTGTTTAACTGTGCTGATGTACGTGCTGGCAATGGAACCCAAAGGTGCTGATACAGCCTATACCACATCGTATATAAATACTAGAACACGGTCAAAGTATCTTTCTGTGGGGATATTTATGTATAATATCTACATTCTGTATAACACAGTGGTGTAAGAGGAAGCAAGCAGGCCACATCCACTTCAAGAGCAAACAGATATATCTCTCTTAAAACTGTGAGTATTTGTATTTATGTCAGCAGAGAATTTGGCTCTACATACATTTCTGTTTCTGCAGGCCTGATGACAGGAAGAGCCTCTCAGGACCTGCTGCTCCATGTTCTGAGTGAGCAGTGAAGACTTACCTGATCTGAAACCATAGTTAAATTATTAAAGCACAGTATATGAATAAGGCATCCCAAGCTTAGGTGTCAACTTAAATGAAAAGCAGAACTCCTACCTGGAAAGACGGAATGTGTTCAGAGGGCTTGGCTCACAGATGGATGCACATCTCTTTCTTCATCTTCTTCTGATGTATCCTGGGATTGAATGGGGGGAACTGCCTTTATGCTGCTGTGCTGACTCCAGTGAGGATGGAGATGCACAGAGGTACCAGCACCACTCGCGCAGGAGCATCTGCAGGAGTATCAAATCAAAGAGGGTGGGTTTGGTCATAGGTGGAACAAGGCTGCCAGCCTCTGTCTGCAGAAACATTCCCTTCGTGTAGTGTCTGTTCAGCAGGCTGTGGCTGCCCATGGAATGCCATGCACAAGTTTCTAACCAACAGTGGTTTGGGTTTATGGGTCAGCTATTCAGAATTGATGCACATAGCTCCCTAGAGCCATGCAAGATGTTTCACTCTGTATTTCCAACAATGAACAACACATGGTTTGGACCTGAGAAAAGATGAAATAACAAGAAATATAGTTCCCATTATTTATAACTTTTGCTTGCAGATGACCCATGCCTTGGCTATTTTGACAAACATCTGCTTTGGAACCCATTAGACAACACAGAGCATTTGCTTTTAACTGCTACAGATCTGTTTCTTTCCCAAGCCCCAGCAGGTTTCAGTTCCCCTCTCCTGGACTATTGGCATCAGCAGCAGTGACCCTACCACACCTAGCAAGTCTTGACAGCAACCGCTCTTGAGACTATAAATCCAGGGCAAAATCCCAAGGACTTCAGAAACTGCTGGAGTTCTTGGCTAAACCCAGGAATGGTGTTGACTTGCAGGCCCAGCTGGGTTGTTACTATCATCCTCTTGGATTCTTCTTTAGCTTCCTGAGGATAGTGGATCTCCTCTTCCCATCCACAGGGAGTTTTTAGCTCGGCCTCCTTACAAGACTTAGAAGTAACATCAGATTTCCAGTATACTGACTGAGCACTACACATGGACAGACAGGGAACTGCTGTTACTCACAAGCACTTGAAAACCCACCAGCCCAGGTTCACCCCACTGGTGCTCTGATGGAGGTGCAGGTCACAGGCAGGCCTAGGACTGCACTGACTTCATCTGGAGCAGCTCTCTAAAGGGATGACATCACAGCAATGCCAGGCAACGAGCTGCCCCCTCAGGGTGTGAAGTTCTGGAATCGACCTATTCTTTCAAGATCCACAGCTTAAATTTCAAAGTGAGATGTGTGTGCAATTCCCTCAGGCTCCTTTGAAATCCCAGCCCGTGTTTGGAGAAGGAACTGGTCATTTTTCTACTCCCAGGCTCACTGTGGCAGAGGCTGTGGATTGCCTTTTTGAATGCTGATACCCTTAAACTGAAACTGGCTGGGATGGAGGGAGGCTGCAACAGCGGAGAAATACACAGAGGGGTTTCTCTTTGCTGGCTTTCAGATGGGTAAGGTGGTCAGTAACTGCTCCAGAAGGAAACAGTAATAATCACTCCTAATGGCCAGGCACAGAAGAAAAGGAGAGTTTATCTTATTTGTCAATCCCACTGTATCCATCTTCCTGGAATTACACAGTGAAATAAAGACATCCAAGACTACACCTCAGCTGGGGTAAATGGTGTACACTTTCATAGCTCCTGTGAAGGCAATTTATACCTGCTAAAGATCTGCCCCTTGATCTCCAAAGCCAAAGGAACATAAGCTTTTGTGTTTTAAGTGTGGTGGTTGGAATGCTGGATTCTACTCTGTCGTCTGTCAGAACAGCAGGCAGAGGGGAGGAATGTGCTGGTGTCATATGGAAACCGCGGTTTGATGACGGACAAAATTAAATCCTTGCATTTGGACATAAACCATGGTAACACAAAATATGCAGCAAGTCAGGCTTGGTTTTCAGTACTGAAAACACAAGGCCCCACTTGGCAGGCTGAGGAGGGGATATTAGTCAGATTTAGACATGGTTTTCTTTGTTTTATTGAAGGATAAATAATTACGTGCTGAGATATTCCAGACACATGTTAGCAGAGCTCTGTGTGAACCACAGCAGAGGATGCTGTGAGAATAGGAAGGACTGAAGGTCCTTTAACCTAAAAAGGACCTGGGAATCCTGGAAAAGTTCAGGGGTTTACTCCTGGAAAACAGTCCCTAAGTTTCCTCAACATATATCTCACATGCTAATCTCCATCCACTGAACCTTCCAAGCGCTTGCTTTCTTGACATCCTTAGGTTAACACTGATTCACTGTATACCACATCTCCCCAAAGCGTCTGCTCAGCATTCCAGCTAAAGCTTTAGCTGGGGATGCACTGGGAGCAGTTGGGTGAGCACAGCCCAGGGGATCTGGGAACAGAGGCACTCCATGCTTGCACTGTAACAGCACCTCTTCTTCTCTTCTAATGCTTTTCCCAAGTTGGAAGTCCAAAGAACGCCACATGGACAAGTAAGAAACAGAGGGTCTGCTCCTCTCACGCATGTGGCAGTGGCTAGTTCCGAGTCACACAAAGACCTTACGGGGAAGTTTCATTATGACTGGGTAGCATTTCTTATTTAATGGAAACAAATGTCTGTGGAAGTGCAGCAGATAAAAACAACACTTTTCTAAGTGCAAGAATTCTGACACCAACTTATTGGATATACCCAAATCTGCTGAATAGCTCAAAGTGATACTCAGCAAATGGATGTTCTGCTTCCCACTCACTGTTTGTTCCACAGTCTCCCAAGGGGTCCTGCTATTTTCTGGTTTAAAAGGAACCCCTATGTAAAAACTGCCTGCAATAGAGGATCAAAGGTATTACAGCTCTGCCTCATTGCCACCACCCTGTTTTTATTTATACTGTAATACCCTGAAGGCAGAGACCCTCTGTCTGTTCTGGTTTTGTATCGTGCCTCGCTCAGTGGAGACCTGACCTGGCCTCTGGTTGCTACCTGTGCTGTCGGAGCGAATAACCAGGACAGTCAGCAGAGCAGCTTGAAACAGGGGCTGTGATCATTCCCAGAGGCAATGGGCACTCAAAGTCATTAGCTGCCCTAGCAGAACCTGTGCAGACAGCCACCACAAAGTGTGATGGATGGTCTTACCAGAGACACTTGGAAATAGACAGGATTCATGGAGTTGTGGGGCCACACCTCTGGGGTGGCACAGGCATTATGGTCCACCTGAACAGCTCTGTCTTCACTGGCCTGGCGCTGCAGTGTACAAACTGCTTCTTTCCCAATATCCCCATCCCAACTGCCATTCCCCAACATGATTTATGACACTTTGTGCTGTGAATTCTGCATTGCTGTTGCCTGCCAGCACTAATGAAGCGTGCAGAGACCTGACAATATTGACTGGTCGTAGTCATTCATGTTTCTTTTTCCTGGTCCTTTGCTACCAAAAAACCTTAAAAAGAAGAATGTAGAAGGTGAAAGCCACAATTCACTGACGAGGTTCTGGAACTGCCTTTCTCTAGTAAAAAAAGCTGCTTCAGTGCCTGCCCTCTAGCACCGAGTCCTGGTTTCACCACCCCCAGGTTGCTCGGGATGCTGCTTTCCATCTTGCACTGTCCTGGTGCATTTACAAGTGTAAAATGGAACTTACAAATCACGTTTTGGAACAGGTAAGGGACATAAACATCAGCAGAGCAGAGTGAGCTTACGGAGAGATGAAATCAAGCTGAGGAGCAGAGATCCGTGGAGCTGGATTTCACATTTCACTGACGCTCTTGGTCCAGAGGTTTGCTCATTAACAAGGCCATGATTCTGCTATTGAGACTCATGGTAAGTGGTTCCTCAGGCAAAGATCCAGCAAAGCACTTAGGCAAATTCATAAATTTATGTCCCATTGACTTCTGTGCAACTATTTATATGCTCAAAGTCATGCATGTCTTAAATGCATTTCCAGAGCAGGCCTGGGACTCAACAGCCTTTCTGCAGCATCGTAAGCCCCCAAGCTGTGAAAATTCATGAGTTCCAGCTCTCATTTCCCCAAAGCTACCACACTGCAATGCAGAATGCACCCTGAGAAAATGCAGCCCCTGCTGTGGTGTTCGTATTCCGGATGAAGGCCTGTCTGTTCCCAGGTCACCCCTTCCCATCTTCCATGGCCACATCTTTCATTCTACTGGCGTGACTGGAAAATACCTGGTGCAAACCTCAGCAAGGAAATCAGGCCCATCTGGCTGAGGGTGAAGCACTCCAATGCTGGCTTTCATAAAGCAGACAGATGAAATGCACATTGAGGTATGAAACTGAACATTCCCATAAGCCCTTGAATATGTTCCCCAAGTGTGAAAGGATGCCCAAGCAAGTCTCATTTTCATCAGCCCTGTCTGTTAGCACCCAGCCAGTGCACTTTATAAAGAGCCTAAAGAGACAAGGTATTATAAAGATCATGCAGCCTAGGCAAGCACAGAAGTGATTTAAAACATTCTAATCTCATTAATCTGTTTCTTCTCCCTAAAGATGTTCAAAACCCAGGCCAGAGCCATAGCTGGCAAGCCAAGCAGGAAAGCACTTAAATAAGACCTTAAATTTAAGCTCACGCTTAAATTCTATTTACCACAACGTTCATTTCAAGATAAATTCATGCTAAACCAGTATTTCTAAGAAAAATAGAAACTCACCTGAGCCAGAGCCTTTGCAATATCAACAGAGCTAATCTGTAGTAGACGAGGCTTTTCTGCTTCAGGACTTCTTTCCCACTCTTCTGAGCCTCTTTCATCCAGCAAAAGGAACAGGAATTGTGGCTTTGGTGGCTGGCCTTAGCAAAGCAATTCTACTTGGATTGTGCATATTCAGCTACCTGCTGGGAAAACCCCCAGTGAACCAGTCTGTCACCAAGCTGCAATGCAAAGAAACAAACAAATGGCTATAATAAAGAGAAATGACCTGAAATCTGATGCACTTGTTCACAGCCCCAAAAGTCAGACCCTTTTTCTTGATGCCTTTTCCCCCCTGCAGTTACTCAGGTATTGCAAGTGCTGCACTGGTTTTGGGTGTTGTAAGGATTCATCCGTGCAGGTTTGCTTACAGCTCTGAAAATCACAGTTTACAGTGTTATCACCCACCCTAAGTGTATTTTTACTATTACCTAAGTTACTATCACAGGCACCTAAGTCTGGTAGCCAGTATTTGGGTATTTACTGTAACAGGAAGACACCTGACTGGCAGTTACCATTCTCCTATGGAGTGGGCAGGTTTCCACACACTTGAGTCTTTCTTTCTCCCAACTCCACTGCTAGGGACTATTTCTATACTCCAGGGAAGCCAGTAACCTCTGTAGGGGAACCAGGTCACCAGTTAGATACTCATTTTCTGGAAGCTGTCAATCTTTCACCGTGTACTTGGCCACTCCTAACTTATTACTCACATCACGATCCTGCTTAACGTCCCTAAGCCTCATACAGGTGAAGAAACCATTACAAGTGTTTGCAATGGTAAGTAACACCCAGCCACAGTTGTAATTGGAGGTACTATGTGCATGCCAAACGTTGCATTAGTATTATTATTGCTATTGACAGTATAAATGGCAGCACCATAATGGGACAACAGCATCAGGTCTCAGGGAGGCAGAGGGTAAGGAGACATTAATATGTGCAGTCAACTTGCATCTTGCACTATGAGAGTGTGCTGGTATGAGTGGCTCTGACACCTAGAACATAAACCAGATGGCCCCTTTCTTACGCCATATCATGCAAAAAGAGATTTGAATTAATTCATGTAGAAATCATGACAATTCTGTTACTGTTGGAACTCAGTACAGCGGACAGGGTGGCAGGAGATTATGCTGAATTTTTAACTTATAAAATACTAGCGACAGATGTCACTGCCTCCACTCCTTTGTTGCTTCCCATCCTTCCTCCATCCCCTCGTGCCCTTGTGTCCCTTCTCCAGAGCAGTAACTCTGCACTACATTGCTTCAAAACCCCCTCAAATCCAGGGCCAAACTTTCTCCAAGTAAAGAGAAATCCATCAACCCCCAAAGGGTCTGCCTGCACCGTGGAGATGCTGGGGAAAGGAGATTTCATTTTGCAGTGAACTCCACCCCACAGCCCTACTCGAAATTCCATCCAAAATCAATAAAACATCCCTGGCCATGGGGATTGATGAACTGAGCAAGCAACAGTGCCTTCCACAAAGGGTTTGCATCCTGAATAGCCGAGGCTAAGCGGGAGAAAGGAATATTATCATCTGCACTGCATGAGGCTGAGGCACAGGAGTACTGAGCTTTGCCCAGGGTCACTCTGCCCTGGTCCCCCCAGTGCCCCTGCCCGTTCCTTGCTCCCACTCCACGGATGGGTTCCCACAGGCACCCATCAGCAAGGTGCGGGGTGTCCCTGGGAGCAGGAACAGCTTCTGCCCAGGCTCGGAGTGCAGCATCCCCAGGGCTTCCACTGCTGTAAGGAGATCCCGGGCTGCTCCCTGCCCTTCACACAAGCCTCCTCGCTTCCATGTTTCAGCGCCTTCTCCCCACAGCACGTCTCCTGCCGACACACCCCTGTCAGCTCCTCCATTGTGCACCCAGCAGCGTCTTTCAGCACATGAGCCTCAGCCAACATGGCTTAAACACATCGACTGGGGTGGGAGGAGCAGGAGGGAAGCCTCCAGCACCAGGGTGGGGGGTGCCCTTCCTGCCATACAAAAGCACAAGCGGGTTTGTTGGCGCTGGCAGAGGCCGGCTGTGTTGAAGCTCCCTTTCATCAGTGGGTATTAGGCCCAAATCGCTGCCTCTTTGAATATGTACACAGCGCTTTCCATCTCCTGTCAGGGGGATGACAGATCTGCCAGGCTCCTCCGGGGCCTGGCACCTGGGGCGCGCAGCAAAGCGGCTTTGCGGCTACGAGCACACACAGCTTTTTGCCTTCTTCCCCCCCCCTCCCCTTCCCTTCTTCTTTTTTCCATTGGGGAACTTTCTCCCCCGCCTTCCCTCCATTCCTCCCCCCCCAACCTGAATGAACACTTCTTTCGGTAATGGGTTTTTTCCACCTGGTTGACTTGATGAAAGGTTTATGAGTTGACATTATGTGTGAGGAGAACAAAGCGAGCGCGGGGATGTGCGTGCGCGGGCTCCACGGAGCCGCTGAAAACTTTATTACAAACTCAGAGACGTTGGGAGCAATAAATCAGGCGGATGGATGCTCTCTACAGACCGGAGAGGAGAGCACGCAGGGCTGAGCTGGGCACCGGCTGCTCCAGTTGCACTGGGAGAGGGCAGAGGGGAAAGCTGCTGGGAAGCCACCCCTCAAAGGTCCTGCTCCAGAGTCCCTACGTTGAAATCACAGCTATAGAAGCAACAGCTCCAAAGGGGGCTTCCAGAGGCATGAAGTGATGTTTAAGCACCTGCTGAGGGTGAACATCAGTAGGTTTAGGAAATGAGCTGCGTCGGGAGAGCTTCCCTGTATCCCTACTCTGGAATTCCGTGCCTGGTCCATGCCCGCAGTTCACTGTTTGCTCAGCCTGTGCCTCTCCCAAGGTGAAAGTCTGCAGCTACTATTTACCAACACACAGAGGAACAACAACAGCTTGCTGTGTTTCAAAAATACCATACCTAAACCAAACAAACAAGAGAATTTCAGCTGTTGTTTGTTAGGAAACCCGAGTTACCGGGCTTATGGTGATGAAAAGCACCTTTAGAAACACAAACGAAATGGTTTTTACTTTGCATTACAGAGAAGGGTAGAAAGGACCTGAGCTGCTACCAGCTGAGCCTGCAAAACAACCAGGAGGTGTGTTGTCACGTCAGCTTAAAGGCAAGGCTTGGTAGCTGAGACATGGCACGAACACGGCATGAACACGGCACGAACACAGCACATTCATGGCACTGCTTCCAGCTCAGCCCTTCACTTGCCCTCCACCGCTTGGTACCGACACGTTCAGCAGGTTGGGGCTTCCAGTGAGGGAAATGACAGCAGGTTTCCTACAACCTCAGAGGCTGCTCAGTGAGAGCCATGCAGCACTCTCCTGGTTCGGTGTTATACTGGAAGTACTTCAGTTCATCCCTTTGTTTTAAGGCATCGGCCTTAGTTCTGCTGCTCTGATTTCCACCGGTGTTAATCAGCACTGTCTCCATGGAGGTGAAGTTTCTCAGGAGGAGCAGGGAACAGCTTTCCCTGACTAAGCTGACTAAATTGCTCAGAGGACGAGCGTGATGTGAAAAGCAGACTAGGTCCCACCGCATGAGAACCTCTGACCCATACAACTGCCGTGGGTCACGCAACCCCAGTGCGTGCTCCCAGTGCTATTTCTCCTTAGCGATCCCGTGCTGTACACAAAGGCAAACATGGTTCTATTTTAAACTCTAATCCAAGGCTACTGCGTGCCTTTTGGAGTGCGGATGTCCTGGAAATGTCACTGCAGAGCAGTGTGCTCAAGAGATTAGAGCCGTTCCAGTTTGCAAATGACAGAGTACAGTCACAGATGTTACTCTAGCCACGGGGTCAGGCACAGTTGCTCAGGCTTAACTTGTTGAATTGCATTAATAAAAAGGAGAAGGGGCAATACTGAAGGATCCTGAGCAGCTGTAACTTTGCCCAGGTTAGGATTTCTAAGGCTTTTATCCCAGAGAAATAAACTTCCTCTCCCCCATAACAACCATGACAAGCTTTAGAGATGACTCTAATGACTGATTCCTCAGACACTCTTGTTATGGGCCAACCCAACCTTCCTGCAGACACCTCTGCAATGAAGGTGACAGTCACGAGGCTCCGAGTTACAGGCTGTGACTCAAGTTCCCAGGCAAAGAATAACGTGGCCACAACTTGTTTGAGGCCTGTGGGCCTGGTTCTCCCATCAGAACCCATTTACACTTGGGCACTTAACACTGAGCAGGGAGCAGAGCCTGCAGACTGGAAGGAAACCAGGCTGTGTTAATAATATTTCCAGAAGAGGTTAATACTATGGGATGCTTCTATTTTTACGTACCTAATTTGAGAGCTGCTGATTTGCAGATAGTGAGAACTGAGCAGCTTTTACATTTTTAGAAAACCAGGTGCTTTTAAGATGTACCTTTAAATTCAAACCCCATTTTAAACCACCACCGAGAATCTTGGCTGGTTTATATTAATGCTGCTAGGCACTTGCTCTGAAAAGCAGCCTGAGCTCTGTCCTAGATCAGCATGTAGTGACACGCATCACTCACATTAATGGACTACTTCTAGCTGTGTTGGGGGAGAGGGAGAGGGAAGGGCTGGGAGGAAATGCCAAGATGCACTGAAAAACACCCCAAAATAAAGATCAGGTGCAACTGCAGCCCCAGCCTGCATGCTCGGTGCTCATCATTTGCTCCGTGGCTCATCTGCTCCACACTTCTGCACTATGAGCAATTCTGGTGCTCTATAAAAAGCATAGACAGGCTTGAATCTAAAGCTAGCACTGTATTAGTGGGGGTTCTGCTCCCTGCTGCCCAGGGCAGGGAGAACCCATCATCTCTTTGGGGTCTGCAGCTGCCTGAGGAAAGCTGCGGAGAGGAAGAGCCATGAACTACCTGGCTACTTACATTTGAATCAAGCACATGAGCCAAACACTGCTCTATCAAACTAACCTCAGTCAGATGCACTGAACTTGGGAGGGAAGCTTGGGTGGAAAATGAGAGGCATTTGTTTCTGCTGTCTGAAAAGCAGTAGGCACACTTTCCATTTTCTTGCTCCAGCTCCAGCTGAAGAGGTAACACAACAATCAAAGCTACTTTATGGTACATCCAATGGAGCAGAGAAAGAGCTTCACTGGGGAGACCAGGAATGCAGAAGACACAGGTATACTATGGATATAAAAAGCAGGACACTCTCCATTTCCTCCCTAAGCATTTCTCACAGGGCTCATGCCCTCACAGAACTGCCCAGCACTGACATCTCTCTTCTTCAAGGTATTAATGAATTAAGACACAGTTTTGAGCAAGTATTTTGGGGATTATTTTGGTTTGACCATGTGACTTCACTGGCATTGAATTTTCTGTGGTTTCTTGTATGCTATCTGTGAAATCCTGCTGAAACAGGAACATCATTGTGGCATCTGCTTTTCTGCCTCTCTTCTAAACGTTGGACATCCTAGTACAGAGCCTTCCCCCCCTCAGCCATCACTGTTCTGATCAGCAGGTCTATTCTGGCTCACGGGGCAATTTCCTGCAGTAATTCATCCCCTCACCACATCAGGGTTTTGCTGGAGTCACCATCTCTTGGCAGAGCAATGATGTCTGATGGCTGGTGACGATCCTGAAGAGAGATGTGATCACTTTATCCAGACCACTCTGCCAAAAAGGAGTCCTGTTCTACAGTGTGACAGAGCTGAAGTCAAGACTTGCAACATGTCCCTTGCATCCTAAAGAGCAAGGCTTATACCCTGCCAAGCTCTTGATTATGAAAGCTGATTTTTCAGTCTCAGGCCTGCTTTTTCTCTTCCTTGGTAGCAAATCTGATCCATGCACTTGCTGACTAATGCTAACAAATCAGGGCAATTGCTGCTTACTGGAATCACCTTTCAATGGGGAGCTGACAGCAAGAACAATGCATCTGTTTGCAGCCTGCAGAGGCTGCGGGGAGCATCTGTCATCAGAGCAGCTACTTGTCAAAAGAGGTTTCAGGCTCTGGCTGATCCTCAGAACAGGGAAAAAGAGGCATGTACAGACCTAGAGCTGGACCGGTGTTTTGTACTGGTGGTGCTTTCATCTTCCCCTTTCTTTGCTTCTACAGATGACTTTGTTCTATCAGACGTGGCTTTTAATTACAAGAGTTCTCTGTGGCATTAGTGGTTTAACTGAAGGGAAATGGAACCATATAAATAGCAGTGTTTTGCTATTCTCTGTTGATACTAAGCTGGATTTCCCTTTTGATATTTATTGAGGGAGACGTGGACCTGTTTGAAGATTCAGTTCAACTAGTTAAGATTTTACTGGAGGAAGGAATTCAGCCACTGAAATTGCCATAGGCAGCACTGCAACTAGTTGGGTAGGAAAGAAGCAAGCAGCAACCACTGCTTAGGCAAGACAGATGACATCAAACAGGCATTGCAGCAGGGGATTTTTAGCAGTCAGTAAATTATCCGTGTGCAAAGTAATAAAGGAAGTGTAATAATGCCTTATTGTTATATGGGCACCTTTCATCCTGAAGGATCGTGGTTTACAAGCTGGAGATCTCTCTCAACACTAGAGCTGGTACTCTGTTCTGTCTTGCAGGGCTGAAGAATCAGTTACTATTTCAGTCTTAAGCTGATGAAGACATTACACTTTGGAGAATATTGTCAACGAAAAACACACCTGGAAAACTAACCTTGGAAAAGTCACTTTTGATGTACTCTTAGCAGGAAATACATTTGTGTTTTCATGGAGAAAGTTCTGTTTTCATCTGAAAATGAAAGCAATTAGTCATAGGAAAAGCTGAGGGACAGCTTCACATCATAGGTGGCAGTTCCTGCTCAGCAGTGAGCTGAGGCCTGTGAGAACTCAGGCAAGCTGAATTTGTAAGCAGCAGCATCGAGGATAAAAAGGGGGAGACCAATGGCATAACACAGTGCTCAAAATGCGAAGACAAGGAGAAAGAATACTGGGTAAGCCCCTAACAGAAAACTCTTCAGCCTGATTCAAAGTGGCACCAATTCTCTGCAGAGACAAAAATCCCAGGTTTTAACAGCTTATTCAAATGGAAACCTACGGAGCAAAGTGCCTGATCCCTAACACCTCGCTGGAAACCAGAAAGTGCTGAGTTAGCCCTCCTGGAAAAGGAAAGTGCCATTGTAGGGAATGTGAATCACTTCACACCAGGATTTGGATCAGAAAGGTAAGATGCCACGGAACCTGCTGGCTCCCAAAGCGACTTGCAGCGTACGTGTCAAGTCCAAGAAGTGCTGAGCAAGGCATTACAAATGCTTCTCAGCTCTTCCTACACAGCGCTTGCGAGGGTATGAAAGCAAGGGCTGGTGGCTGTCCTCAGCCATGCCTCTTTGTCAGGGCATTGCTCCCTTCCACAAGGATATGGAATTTGGGAATACATGTTCATGGGCAAGGTTGACCAAATTAAGCAGGAATTGCACATGCTCCATTGCATCTTAGGTGATGTGGATCCACAGAGAGGTAACTGACCCCAGTGCAGGAGGCGATTTTCAGGCTCTCATCTGCCTCCTGGAAAAGGCCTCCTGGCAGGGAGATTGCTTCATTAGAAAGCAACTGAGTGTTTTAACTTCAGTTCTGTCTTCTGCTAGGCAGAGGCTTGTAAGTGCACCCAGGACTAAGAACGCCAGCATGCAAACTACAATTACAGTTACATTAGAAATGGTGAGACCATGAAAAGACGGGAAGGAGTTGGTGCCTATTGCTTGGGTTAAGGCTATGCAGGCACCACTGAAAATCCTTTCCCTGTAGGGAGTATTGCTTGTTCTCATGGTAGCACATACTCCCAGAGAAGGCTGCATGCTGGAGCCTGTCAGGAAGGAGCAGGACAAAATGGGTAAACGTAGTCTCTACTGTATGTTGTCCAGTTCCATCTTGGCTACCCCTAACGCTCACAAGCAGAGTTAGGCTGCAACACGAGAAAGTAAAACCTAGAGTTTAACAGAAAGCAACAGACACAGACAAACAGCCATCACCATCTAACGATGTTTGAAGAGCTTCTCTCTCTGAGCTGAACGTCTGTTTGGCCTTTAGGCAGGGTGCACTGCATCAGTCAAATTTGCTGTGCCACCCCTTGGTTATGAAGAAAGCTACAACTATTCATATTTGACAAGTCAGTCCCACAAAGCCGAGTGCAGTTCAAAGCATTACCCACCTGGTAGCTCTTCTTTACAAGCATGCAACTACAAAGGGTAACTTTGGGAATTTTTTAACCTTTCTTTCCCACACGCCCAAGTGTTCTTGTTCTTCCCCTCTTTTCTTTCCAGCTTTCATTTTGCTGGGCATCACACCGAGAACACTGAGATAATTCAGATAAGTGGGGGATGAGGCAGGAAAGATCTGTTTAGGATTGATGCTGGACTGAGATTTAAAAGAACATTGGATAGATTAGATCCCCAGGAGATGCAAAACAGCCCACGGGCCCCACGTTGAGAGACGTTAACCGAGGACTGGAATGAGCTGGAGCAATGAAGAACACTATGGCTTCAGCAGAGCTGCTCAGAATGCAGCCCACATTGTGCAGACAGCAAAGGCTGGCTGCAGAGGTTTCTGAGAGCTCCTTTCATACCACTTCATTATGGTAGAGACGTGTGTCTGAAGATGCCAGGATTATAATGGAGAATGTTTATTTTGTCTGTAACCCAGCTGGCTGCTTTGCTGTATTTCAGATCTCTTCAAGTAAATAAATGAGGGGACTCTACTTTCCCCTCTACGCTGCAGTGTGTGTACATGAGTGTTATTTCCTCTATCAGATTCCTGTACAAAAACTGCTGTCAAGCTATTAATAATCTGGAAAAACACCTTGAAACTTGACTCAATGAGGGCACATTGCAAATGGGCTCTAATGGCTTTTATTTCTCATCTCTGTCACCTCAGATCTAATCTGCCATTTTCTCATTTTTCATCCCTTCTGGTCCCCTCAAATCTTCCCTCAGTGCCAGGCAGAGCAGAAGGGGCTGTGTGATGGGGTCAGCAGGCATTTATTAACAGGGATAGGTCAGGGGTATCATGTAGTGTGGAGCAGAGGCTTGGACATGCTCCCACAGCAGAGTAAAGGTGAGTGCAGGGCAGCTCTTGCCATGTCAAGGCCTGGGATCAAAATGGAGAAAGCAATGGGAGATGTTGTCCTGGAGGGAAGATATTCCCACCACCACAAACCACCCTTACAACCACCCCCCACTGCTTTTCATTTTATGGGCCAGTAGTTTCCTGGATTCCAAGACTCACTTTTAGCCACAAGGAAAGAATTAGGCAAGACTGTGCCAAAAAGCCAGGAGCAAACCCCTGGATAGAGAGTGATGTGCTTGTTTTACCCAGCCTGAACTGAAATCTGATCCTATTTTTTTGCTCTGTTTTGGGTGCGTATCTGCATCTTCTGTGGACACAATCTTGGTACCATCAAAACGTGTTCCTAAGTTTAAACTCATGCTCCTTACACTGAGTTTGGTGCATCTGCCTGAAGGAAAAAGGCAAATCAAAGGCTGCTGAGAGGACATTCAAAAGTACTATACAGGACCTGTGGCCTATTAAGAACTTACGATCAGATGTTTAGAAGATGTTCAGATGCTCCAGAGTTCTTAGGAATCTAACAAACCTTTACAAACCATGGCCCTCAGGTACCTGGGGGAAAAGGCAGGAGGCAGTTTCTGACCAGAGGTGTACAGTATGTGACTCTCAGAGAGAAGCCACAGTCCTTTTTCCCCTTCATCCATCTTGCCATGACAATGTGCTTAGGAGCTCCATCTTTTCTGCTTTATTTCGTTATGCAAACGTTCATTTAAGGAATATTTCTCAAGCCTCCTGTGGGAATCCAACCCAATTTTCCCCAGACAACGCATGCGCAGACGTGACTAACACCGCTCATTGAGGCGAGGAGGAGATTTAAGGCTTTTGACTCCAGCTTGATCTTCCCCCCCCCCCCCTTTGTTTCTCCCTCCTTCTTCTAAGTATCTCTTTATTCATCACTTTCATTACCTAATCGTAAATTTCTTTAGGGGGTTACTTAGAAGGAAAATTAGCATCAAAGCTTGGCAGTGAATCCAGGGGCTTTTGGAGCAGGTCCAAGTGTTTCACCTGTGATTAATTTGATGATTTTTTTCCTTAAGTGCCAGAGGGCTGTTGAGGTCTTTAAGCAGTTACGTGAGTGCTGCCAGCTCAGGAATTATGATTGATGCATTAGTCTGGCATTGAGGACTTCTGCTTCTTTCTGCTAGTTGCCTGGATAAGCGAGAGCATCAGACCGGCCACACGGGTGGAAACAAAAGGCTTGTTGCTGGCAAACACCATGCCTTGCTCTCACAGAGGAGTGAGGAACTGGGGACACTGGCTTCGCCACTGCTGGCAGAGTGTTCAATAGGACTAAGATGAGAGAAAGGGAGCAAGAAATGCCTGCTACTCAGAGTGCGTTTTACAAAGGCGCAGTTTCAAGTCAGAGCAGTACTTGTTGCCTTTAAATCTTTTCTGAAGGTATGGGCTTATTCAAGAATGAGAATGAGAGGAAAACAGAACCAAACCTTTAACCTCAACCTGGAAAACTTCTGTAAAACAGAAATAGATGGACTTAAGGAAAATAGTTTTCTCTTTCACAAAAACCTGGCCCAAAGGGAAAAGCAAGAATCTCAGTGGGGTTGCATTTGTTCCTTCAGCAGAAAGCTTTAGGAGACAACCAAATTCCAAGCCTCAGTGACTAATCTGGCTCCTCCTTCTGGCTGGAAACAAAAATCCTTTCTCACCAAGGAAGAAGAAAGCCAACCCCAAAACCCCAAGCTCTCCATTAAAGCTTTAGCAGAAGTTAGAAACAGCTGGTTCCAAGTGTTATCCCTGTGTAACTCTCACCCACACTGGACAGAGGTGTTTGGAAAAGCATCTCAACGAATGGAGAACCCAGTGGGCTGTGTCTGTGCTTTCACTGCTCTGGCTACATCTGTTTTCTGGGAAAGGGAGACCCTTCAGTCACTAATGCTTATTAGTTGGCACATGTGTATTACAGAAAAAGTGTCAGAAGCATTAATGATGCACTTCCAGATTGCTTAATACAGTTAGCTCACCTAATTCACTCTGCATGGCCTCTTGCTGCAAGGAGAGAAGCAATCAGCAGTTAAACAGCCCTAGTCCCTTTATAACTGGCCACTAGAGAGACAGTGGGGAATAAGACATTGGTTTTATGGTACATTGGTGGCAGGTCAAGAGAGAAAGCTGAAGTGGATGGATGGGAAAGTAGCAAAGAGCCCTTCCTTCAATAGGAAAAGGCTAAAGAACCCATTGCAAATTAATGACTGAGAGAGACCTCCTTCTGTTCTGGCATTCATTTAAACCATGAGGTGTTTGGAGTTTGTCTCAGCAGAGTAAAATCATCTTTCAGACATGATACATGCTTCGCAGGAAACCGTGTGTAGCTCTCAAAGGCTACTCCTGCTGTCACGCATCCTTCCTCCCAAGTGTTCTCAGGACAACAGGATGTCCCTTCACTTCAGGAGACAGCTCCTCATCCTGCTGTGAAGTAGTTAATCTCCATGGGAAGTTCCTAGGCCTCTCACCATCCCTGCTCAGAGAATAATGACACTTGGTGTCTGCAGCCACCTCTGGTTTTGTCAATGCCCAGCCTGCCTCAGCTGACGTTTACAGAGCCTGGATTCTCCTCAGATCTCATTGACTTTGTGTCAGTCACCACTGGCAGCATTCTGCTCTGCAAACCCAGCCCAGCTCACAGCAGTGACATCCGTCACCACTCATCCTGCTGAATTGAATCTGACTACAGGAAGGAGGAGGGGGAGAAAACTTGCTTGTATGTATGGCTTGTATACATGTACATGTTAACCTCTTTCTGGGCAAGTGCTCTTTGCAGAGGCCTGTGTTTATCTTTGTGTTTGCCCTTATCGGTGTTCAGATCCAGGTGGATGCCTTAGCATGTTTGAGTCTCTGCAGAGTCTGCATTTCCATGCATGCATCTCTGAAGAGGCTTTTGGCTCCATTTGTTATGTACCAGCCTGAAACAACAGTGTGGCTCAGCTGACAAGACAGACAAGACACCACTGCAAGACAGCTAACCTACCAGGTAAGCTCAAGGAACTTACTTCCCTGCTTGAAAGCATGATGATACTTGTCTGCTGCTGTAAAGAGGCTGTCCATTGTATGCCAAATGGGGAAACAATTCATCAGGTACTGCTCCATGAAGACCATTTCAACCATCTCTGGAATGTTAAATCCCTAGACAGACTGGCAAGGGAATGATCATGTTAGCAGGAGCTCAGATCTGAGAGTGAGAAAGCTGCTAGCCCAGAAATCAGGAGATCTGGGTCCTGGTTTTATCTTTTCCACCAATATGCTTTTGAGCAAACTACAGCTCCTCTGCTTCCTTTGTGACTGTTCTGTGTGTACCACCTAAGCTCACCAGGGTCAGGACTACCTGATTCTATCTGACGCAAGAAGTTCCAGAACTCAGAAACTCCAGTAACAGTGCTAACAATTAAACCAGACCAATATTAAATGCCAGCCACACACCAAGGTGACCTTTAGCCTTAGAATGGGTGCAGGTTAGCAGACAGCGACACAGAGATCCTGTGACAGCCTCAGGTACCACCCCATGGGTTTCATTGCAGGAGCTGAATTTAAACATATGACCCAAACAATACACAGGAAGATGCTGGTGCTGAAGATTCAAAGGTGGTAGCTTCAGAAAGCGTGCTTGCAGGCACCCCCACTCCGATTCTCTCCTACCCCTTTGCTTTTCAGCTTGTGACAACAGAGATTATTCCGTGCTGGAAGAATGTGGCATTGTTGACATTAAAAAAAAAGGCAAAACAGGCCTTTGCTTTGCTTGAACAGCACAGGCTTTCTTGATCAGCTGTCTGAGGTGCCTCATCTGTACAAAGCATTTAAACCTGTCTAACATCAAAAAGTAAGGTAAGACAAGTCACTTTGATGCTCCAGAGCACATGCCTAACATGATTATTGCAGAATCTTCCTGGTGATAATAGAATTATGCAAAAGAGGCCTTGACCCATTAATGCTTTTACCTTTCTTAGGATTTCTCTCCCTTCTTTCATGAGAAGCAGAACTGCTTGCTCAGATATAGCAACTGAACAAAAAGGTGGAATAAGCAAAATGAAAGAGGTCCCTTCCCCACCTTGTCATCTCCCCCCACTCCACCTTAGCCCAGTAAATCACACGCTCGAGCAGTTGCAGGTTAAGCAGCTGGAAATATGCTACACTGGCAAAGCTGTGTGACTGAGATGGGCACATTCCCTCATCACAGAGACAGTGTGAATGCAGGATGGCACATGTCATCACTGGCAGTCCTGCACCTAAGACACCTTCGGGGAAAAAACCCTCTCTAATGGAAAGAGAAAAGACACCTGCACCAGGGGCTGCAACTGTTTTACACCAAGTGGCACAGCTCTGGACTAACACAGTAGGAAAGCCAGCATTTGGTGTCTTCAAGCTAGAACTCATGTGTCCTGGATCTCAGTCATAAAGCAGCACTTTCAACATTTGCATCCCTTTTCTAGGCAAAGCAGATGACTTCAGACAGAAGAGTTTGCTGGCAACGTAGCCTCAGTTTCTCACCCTCAGGGAATTTATAAGACCAGGTTTGGTGGTTCTCAATAAAAATGCCTGAACATTGCACAAGACCTGCTTAGTATCAGAACACAGAGGCTCAGGCATGTGTTGTTATTGAAAAGCAACAGAATAAAAAGGAAGAAAAAGGGATGTTACCTCCCCTGCGCCCTGCTCAGACTGAATTACAGCTGAACATAAAGCAAGCTTCAGACGATGATAACACAGAGAGCTTGCAGGGTCTTAGTATGAGGTATCCCTTGTAGCCAAAGGAATGCAAAGCCTGTCCAGGCTCTTCCTTCCACCTTTTAAGTGTCCTGCCTGTTTAAAATAACACATGCTAGGGAATGGACTGAGACACTATTCTGGAAGCCTTGTTCTGCCAGAGGGTAAACAGAATCCAGCACACAAATTCTAATCTAAGCTTGTATATACAGTGGGTGATTTTAGGCCAAAAAACTCCTACCAAGAGATCAGCTGAGTGTCCTGGCTCAGGCTCAGGTCTGCAAAGGGCTGGCAAAGGGAAAGCATGCTTCCCATGTGTTTTGTTTGCCCAAAGCACGGTTCACTGATTCCTACTTGCAATCTGTCCTGAATTGAAAATGTATGATTAGTTTGTTCCAGGAAAGACGAGCCCAACACATTAAGGCTCAGACCTGAATTCAAACTTCCCCAAGCGTAGATAGGTTTTCATCTGGAGTTTTGGTCCAAGCTCTTCTCTTGTTTCTTACTCATGTTGTTTGAGTTCCTGAATGTCCCATCCTACATCAGTACCTATTTATGTTAGACCAGACAAATCACAAGAGACAGTCCTTAACCCTAAGCTCCCATTATCCATATTAACAAGTATGTTATTATATTATTCCTGTAAGCAGAAAGCAGCATTAGGACCCAGTTAAATAACTCACCCAAGGTTACACAGCCAGCTTGTTGCAGCGCTGGCTACTAAAGCCAGTTGCTTGACTCTTAAGCTCAGTGCTTTAGTTACTCCTCAAGAGGGGAAGTGTAAGCCCAGATCTGACCATTCCCCTGGGTAGGAAAGCTTCTGGAGTGTCTGTTCGAAACAAAGACTTACCTTCCCCCTTTTCCTGTCTAAAATAGAAAAAGGACCAAACCCTTATTCTTGAGCTTCAGGGATCTGTTAATTGGCTCCCTAGTAAAATTACAGGGCCTCAGCTGCCTGATAATGATTGTAAATGACAGAGACTATCAGGTTTACCTTGTGATGTCCCTGGGGAGCTTGCAGTTAGTTTAGTCTGAACTCTGCGTCAGCTGTTTGGGTTCCTTTCTTCTCGGCATGTGGTATCTGGACTCAAGCTGCAGTCTTTCAAACCTAATTAGTGTTAGGGGAAAGAGAGAGAGAAAAAACCTCAAACAACAACACTCTCCTTCCCTCAACTGACTTCATAATGTACAGGCAGGACCTGATTTACGGTACAAGTTCATGGGGATTGGTTTTGCTTGGTTTGTTGGTTGTTTCCATGCCCAGCAATCCAGCATCTTCAGCTCTGGCTGCAAGAAAACTCCATTTCAGTGTGCTGGAATCTTTGCATTTTGAGAAGTTTTGAGATTTTTGAAGAGCTCAATGGAGTCATCGTGTTTGCATATACTTGGGTCTGTTGCAGTGCTCAGCAGAAACTCAAGGGTTTGCCCTTTTCTTCACAGAGAAAGCATTTTACTCTCTGACATGTTTGTTGTTCAAGCTTAACTACACTGTTTTCAGTAGTAACCTCATAGCAAAGTTAAGCCAAATTCACACTGCCACCCCTAAGGAATAAGAACATCAACAATATTTTGGGGGTCTCCATAAATTGTACCATTTTTTACTTGCAGGGCATTTCATGATCTAACTCTGGCAGGAAGGTGTCTGCACTACCTGGTTTCTTGCTTGGTAGCTGACTTCCATCCCACATCACAGGTCTTCAGTTGTTGCGGTGTTGCATGGAACAACAGAGCAGCAGATCCATAGACAGCATCTTCAAACCACTGGCAGGCCAAGCAATCACCAACCTGGAAAAGCAGTAGCACATGGGATTCAGGCTGCTTTGGGAGTGACCCGAGTGTCTGGGATAGCAAGAAAGCTGTAGGGTTTTCTTCAATGCCTGACTGTGTGTGCAGAATTCTTTGGAGTGAGGAGAATATAGAGAGGGTTTAATTTTACCTATTCTACCTATATTTAAGTGAAGCTAATTAGTCTCTGGAACAGCTGCTGAAAGATGTGGTAAATTTCTTGACTCCTCCAAATCTTAAATCAAGACTAAATGTCTGTCCAGGAGATCTGAAGCTCAAGCAATCCCTGAAATCTTGAAATTGAAAGAATCAGTGAGTAGAACAGGTTAGATGAGGATTCTCTCTGCCTGCAAACCCTCTGAAATCCCTGCCCTCAGCAGCATTACTAACTTCATGCTCCAGTAGCTCCCTAATGCAGAAGGCTCCCTGGTAAAGATAAATCACATTTTAAATGAACATAAGGGAATCTCATCCAAGCACCAGTAAGCACCATGTTCAGACCACACAGCAGTTTGCCTCAAATGGCCTTAGCTACCTACAGCAATGTCTAAATCCAAGACAAAAATAAGTAATTCAGGTTGCCTGAAATAGATGCCTAACTTCAAAGTTACAACTACTACCCTCTGACTTTATGGTACAGGTTGAGATAAGGTGTACCCGCCTATTCTTGTACAGATTGGGTTCTTCCATCAGGTGACAGAGCCCAAAGCAGAGCATCCCAGACAAGTCTAAAGCTCTGTAGCAAGAAGTCCTGCTGTAGAAGAAGCAAACCCACTCTTACCAGAAAAGGACCCAAAATGGACAATTCAGTCCAACATTAAAACACTTATATAGCCAAATTCAGATCTAAGGCAGAAAAGGCCTGGCCTAGAGCCTCTCTCTTTTTGTTTTCTAACCAATGATGCCTGCAGTGCATCAAATAACTTATTTTCCACCCTCTCTCAAGCAGCTCATTTCCTACATAGATCCACTTCGTGGAATCTGTCACCTGCATTTGCCTGAGTAAAGAACCTAAACAAGCTTCAGAGAAGCAATGGTGTTACTAAATCCACGCTGCACCCAAATCCGCTTAGGAACATCTGACCATATTGTCGGGCAAAGGGGTATAATGCTGTTAGAGTAATTCCCAGTCTTTTCAAGTAAGGAGCTATAGTCCAGGGTTATCCAGGAGTGATACAGCTCGGGGGGAATCTGCACTTTACATATTTAACAGAAGCGTGCTGAGCTCTTTAACATATCATTGCTGTACTTTTTGACATCAAAAGGATTGCATTTCCATACTTGGATGAATTAATAGGATTTGCATGTCACCCTCATTCTGTACTTTCTTTGCTGAGTTACACTGCTGGAATTTGAAAGGCAGAGAAACTATAGAGGTGTGCATGTGTGTGTGAGTGCACTCTGAAGTAACACACTGCATTTAGAAGGGGTCTTGAAGCTGCCTTTAAAGGAACAACATTACTGCAATGTGCCCATGAGATGTTACCTTCCTTGCCGGTTGATGTTTGGTTACAGCTTCAGACAAGCAGATTTCTGGGAATGCTTCTGCACGCAAAGGCAAGGCTGGAAACCTTCCTCCATCACCAAGCAGCTGCCTGCTCCCACTGACTCCTGTGTTGCTACGATGCTTTTCAAACTGGTCCTGTTCAGCTTAGGAGCCCGCAGCTGGATCAGGAAGGGAATTCGGGGCTCGTTAGAGTCCCTGAGCTGTAACGATCATGCTCATTGAATTGTTTTCTGCCTGTGGAGACCCCAAGGGTCATGCTGAAGCAAATCCTGGATCTGCTTCAGGCTTCCAAGGGTAACATTCCCCTTTACAGACTGCATTCTCCCGTTCAGATTCTTCTGCCAGTCTCCTTTCAAACTAAAAGAAAGCAGCACTCCTGCACTGAGTGTCTGGAGATATTTCAACAGATATTCACAGTGACAGCAAAGGGAGGTGACATTGGACTGCTGAAGGCTCCCGACCTTCTCTTTCTTCTCTAGTTCACACATCTCCCTGATACTGCCATTCGAAGCAGTGCTGTATTTCTCCCCGTCTTCACTGTATTTACAGGTTGACTGAATGCAGCCAAAGGTGCCCCTCTACTTTAAAGCAGAGTTGAGTGCTGATTGTTCCTGGACAGACTTGGAATCCTACGCTTGAGTGAAATTTTATCCTTTAAGACAGGTCATGCTATGTCTTGAGTTACTTTTACACTTGACACTAGCAGTCATTAATTACCATCTGGCTGATTGACATATCAGTGAGTAGCAGCAATATAATACTTTCCCTAACACTGAAGCCTTCTCAGAAAAGCGCTAACTGGACTTGACACACTTCCTTTGGACTGCTTATCCCTTGGAGAGATTTGGTTTGTATTTATTCAGTGTCTGTAAAACTGCCACCCAAGCACTATCCCCTTGGACACGAGCTGAGAGTGAGGCGTGTGGAACCTGACTGCAGCGCTGGGATTTGGGGTGAAGAGCAAGAAAGGGGCTTTCAGAAAAAGAGGAGGCTGTTTTGCAAACACAGCTCAGGAGCTGAACCGCTGCTTCACTGCCAAAATCCTGCCTTAACTGCACCAACGTGGGACCCATGTGTATGACCACTGGCAGCATCACTCAGTTTTAACAGCACTTAAAAGGATGATGTGAGCAGGGGGGATCCCCGCGTTCCCTCTGTTCTTGCAGGTTTGGTGCAGTGGATCTGATCTTGGTGCTCCAAATGTTTTTAAAAGAACACACTGCCAGAAGTTCACCAAAATAAGCACTCTGAAAACCTGATGGGGTCCAGCGGATCAGCAGTGGCCCATGTTGTGGAATTTGGTTTATACCTTTTCAGCATCCACATTTCCAGGGAATTTCTGCCTAGGTGCCAGATGGCCAGGTAAGAGTTAAGTGTTCCAGTTCTCAATGCCTGCTATGGTAAAGTGGTGGTAGTGCAAACTCCCTGCTCCCTAGCTCACCAGTGCACCTCCAGCCAGGCTCACAGAACTCCTTTCTACACAAACACGCAAGAATCCAGAATCCCCATAATCTTCTCAGCCTTTGGCATCAATGCTGGAGCACTGGGCCAAGCCATCCACCAAGGGCCCAGCTGGTGTCAAGTGCGATTTTGGCTTCAGTGAATGCAGTTCCCTTAGAGGGACTGATTGTAACATCACATTGTCAAAAAGCAAATAAACCAGGCTGGCTTTAAATACCTTTTGTAACCTGTCAATATCTTGGAGCTAGGAACAGGAAGAACTTCTAAAAGCACTCTGAAAGTGTGTATCTATAACAGAGAGAGTTGCTGCTGATGGCATATATTGAGAGATGTCTCTTGGAGCTGCCTTTCAGGGTATGGAACCCACTACGCCAAGAAATCACAGCAGCCCAGTGATGAGCAAACTGCTCAAATAGGAATAGACACGTATTATTCCCAGGGTACCATGTAACTAATCACAGCACTGGTCTCTGCAATGTTTCTTGTGCCTTTCTCTGACACACATGGCCTTGACCATCATTAAGTCTAGCTTAAGTGGGTTTACCCTGGCTACGGAAGACTTTGTTATACACTGATGCCACTGAACAGGACAGGGCATGATACATCTACTTACCCCAGACAATAGAGAATTCAAAAGTAGTCTGAGAAGATAGCTCCTGCAGGGGCACCAGCAGAGAAAAGCTGATCTTGCTCTGGAATCTCATAATTGCCACTGGGAGCTTGGCTAACGAACCAGACATTTGGTGAAAACTCTATTGGAAAAGCAAGGAGGAAAGAGGAAACACCTTAGCAACAGAGGGAAGGCATCGAGAATCAGAATCAGAAGTTAATAAATCCAGTTTGCTATTCTGGGTCCAGCACTAGCTACAGCATGCAGCATTAGTAAAACATTGCACTGTGTGCCATGGCAGACAAAAGGTACAGAATCCTAAAGCTAAGGTTGAAGACATCAGCTCCTAATTAATCTACCTGCCTTGAGAAAGAAAGGAACAATCTAATTCTTCCCCTTATTTTCCTGACTTTATAGAAATACCATTACTCTTTCTATTGGCTTACACTGGGGTTACAGAGTCCCCGGCACAGCTGCACTACTGTGACAGGGATCTTCACTAGTTTCTCCACCTTATTCTCACTGGCTGAGACAGCCCTGCAGAATTCCCCTCACCCTGAAAGCAATTCCTCCTTAATCTTCTTTTCTATTTTGAGGGAAGTGTCGAAGTACCCCCCGGCAGAAGGCCCCTGCTGTGCTTATGAACATGCTAGGTATGCCGTGGCACTCCAGCACTACCAGTAAGAATGCTGATGAATGACAGCAGCCCAGCAGGAGACTGAGAGGAATTGAGATCAAGAACCCATATCTTCCCATTAAAAAATAGAGAGCGAGCACAACTAACTCTGTGTGAGTAATGACTGATTTCTATTATGTCCCCTTGGGTCAGGAAGCATTTGAGTGCATCATTTTTAAAGATGACTAAAACTAGCCAGAATACCAATACTATTAATGTCTCCTGTTGTCTTGCAGTGCTGGTGTCATCCTTCAGCCATGTATTCCCAATACAGATATTTCACCCAGCCTGGATTTCGGTGTTGGCCTTGCATCTAGCATTAATCAGTATGACTCCACTGATGGCTTATACAGGCTGGGTATGAAAGCATGACTTGCAGCCATAGGAAGGGATCCACTTTATTTCTCCACACCATTCTTTTTCTCCTTTACATAGGTCCAGGACTAGCTTCTTTACAGATCACTTTGCTATTCCTCTCCCAGGTCTCTGTCTCCTTATGGCAAGGGTTCCTAGAATCCATTGTTTCTGGGAATAACCACTTATAACACACACCTAAAGCCACTGAGCAACTCAGAAATTCAGAAGATGCTCAACACATTGAGCTGTGCTCAGCTTGCTGGATGTGGCCTGCAGAAGCCCATGCAAAGCTCTGCCATTCAGCCTGATGCAAAGCAGCCAGTTTAGCATTTCCTGGTTCACTGTGTTTCTCACGTCTGGGCAAGGAGAAGCAGCAAGCACATCAGAACACAGCTACAACACACAGCTCT